TAAAAGAGACTAGAAATTACAGTCTTTGTTATTTAAATGAAATAATAAAATGCCACATAAAGATGTTTAGAACCCAATGAAGCAGTGTTACAAGCAAATATAAAATGGCAGCGACAATTTTATGTGAAACTTGGAGCCAAATGAACTGTCAGTGACAAGTTTCACTTATTAGTACATTTCCTGTCAGAAATATTTTTGAGATTGTATTATAGAAAGAATGTAAATTGGTCCCGATAGCAGCTAAAGCAAGCAGCTAGACTCAAGATAGACCTTTTGCATGAGAGCAGACATGTTTGTTTGACTAGCACAACGATTGTGCTGTCACTTAACAAAGGATACTGTTGACCCTCTGGTTTTATCTTTAAGTTTATAATAAGAGGCTACTTAGCATAATAAAGAACCAGACATGAATCAAAATCCTTTCTCCATTCACTCAAGCAGACTGCATTTCTGAGCTCAGGTTATGAATAAGAATGCCAGTCTCATGGTGCGGTTATGAGGCTTAAAGGTGCTAATCTGTATACAATGCCCGCACATAATGGTCTCTAAACAAATATTAGTTCTTGTCCCTTTACAGGTCACATACAACACTCTGCTCTGTGACCAGGAAATTTGTTAAGCTTTATTATCTCCATTTAAAGACCAAATATAATATACAGTCAAAAAGTTGAGGATACAATGAAATAACCTCTAATTTGGGTTCCCAGCAGTTGTCTCTGAAGATGTTTTCTCCTAGTGCTCAGGCACTTTAAAGAAGGATCAGAAATAGTTCAAGGGTCCACTAAGGCCTTTGGCCTGTATTATTCCTTCATGCCTTCTACCATTAAAAGCTTGTAGTCACAGGAATTGTTATTCAGAATCATTCACAAAAACAAGCAGCAGAGGGGAAGCACTGGACTTGGGGAGAAATTATCAGGAAGCTAAAGAGCCACACACTTACAAGTCCATTCTTAGGCCTTATAGCTAATTTGTGCAGTAGGCTCTCACACTTACAAGTCCATTCTTAGGCCTTATAGCTAATTTGTGCAGTAGGCTCTTGAGCAACATAGATTTGAACTGTGCAGATTCACTGTATATATATTTTCTCTTCCTTTGATTTTCTTAATAACCTTTGCATCTCTGTTGCTTACTTTATTGTAAGCATACCGTATCTCATACATAAACACACAAAATATGTGTTAATCAGCTATTCATGTTATCAATAAGGCTTCTGGTGAACAGTACACTATTAGTAGTTAAATCTGGGGGGAGTCAAGCATTATAGGGAGATTTTTTTACTGCAGGGAGATCAGTGCCCCTAACCCTTATGTTGTTCAAGAGTCGGCTCTATTTGTAATTTACATTCTTCGTCTTTAAGAGAACCCTTCAAATAAAATAAAAGCTTATTAAAAAATAACCTTTAAGTCCCACAAAATCTGGAATCACTCTGACTAGACTGTCGGGCAAAAGAAAAAGAATTGATATAATTTAAAAAGATGAAATAGACAATAGGAAAAGCAAGTTTTGGGGCACCTGGGTGGCTTAGTCGGTTAAGCGTCCAACTTTCGCTTAGGTCATGATCTCGCGGTTCATGGGTTCGAGCCCCGCGTTGGGCTCTGTGCTGACTGCC